TATCTGGTGTTCTACTTTCTTGAACTCGTAGTCCACCTGCTGTGTGAAACCAACGTGCTGCTGATGTAAGCCTTCAATTTTCTTTTCATGAATCGTAAATCTTCGTTCGCATTCTTGTTTTTGACCTCTTATTTCGTTTCGTAACTGTTCGATATTCTTTTCTTGAGTTTTGATAATCTGTTCTTGTCCTGCTTCCATTTTGTTTTCTAGATGTGCTTGTCCTGCTTCCATTTTGTTTTCTAGATGTGCTTGTCCTGCTTCCATTTTGTTTTCTAGATGTGCTTGTCCTGCTTTCATTTCTTCTTGTCCTGTTTTCATTTCTTGTTGCATTCCTTGTATTGCTTTCATTAAGATTGACAAATCCATGTTTTGTATATGGGCTACTGGAGCTGCTTCTAAAATTTCTTGGCTTTCTTGACTAAAAACGATGTCCTCACTCGCTTGTGTGCCCTCCATTTTGTTTTTCTGTATTGCTCGATCAGCTTTCTTAAACCCGGACCGTAATTCCATAAAATGATTGTAATATTTGATTTTCTTTTTTCTTGTTTCTTAAAAAGTTTCTTCGTTGCTCTGCTGGTATAATTTGCATGAAACTCTTCTTTACAGGCGTTGATGGTTCGAAGCCCACCGATTGGGTGCCATTTGCGGCGGTTTCCTTAACTTGCTCGCAATTTATCGTTATTTTGGTAAAGGTTTCCTAACAAACTGAACGTAGGTACGCCATTTTGCCGTGGATGTTTCCCTTTACAAAATAACAGTAATTTTTCAGGTTCGTGTCGGTGTGAAAAATCTTCTTTTTCTCTCTTCAAAATACTTAGGACTTACCTTCTGTACCTCTTTAACCCGCTAGCTCAGATAATAACATGGGTGCAAATAGGAAGATAATTCGTTCTATTCTAGCTCACGGTATAACATTCATTAATCATAGAAACGTAACCAAAATTTGGAAGAATGTTGTTTTGACGTTACTACTCTCATATGCTTCCGAGATTGGTATGTAAATGCAACAATTTGGGTTTCCTTTATACGCAAACTTCTTGACCTCCTTGAGAAATTACAGAGAATTAACATTAATTATCTTTAATACCTTTATTTGAAAGTCAATGGATTTAAAACATATAAATATCTCCGCCCTTAAAAGAACGGTAAAGCTTAATAATCAAAAATAACGGACATTTCCTTTAACTGGTACCTTAATCAAATTTAACTGTTATACAATCCCCTAAAATACATAAAGCCCCAAAAGTCAAATATAAAATTGTTCAGATCGATCAAAAATACGCAAACTTCACGATTTAATCAAGTTTATCAAATATAAAACTGCAAATTCTACCTTAATTCATCTCGGTAATGGCGTTGCTTCTTATCTAATCGCCTTACATCCGCTGGGAACAGGTTGGTGACCTCGCATTCCAGGCGTTCGCTTTTGTCGTTACAGGAAATCAAACTGGTGGTGGTGGACTGCCAAATTTCCCAAATCTAATCTTCTCAAGGTGGAAATACCCAAAAATACTCGCTGGCGGAAAACAATATGCCGCATAAGCTCCTCTTCCAGGCTGGGAAACAAACTACGTTGGCACGCAGACCCCAAATTCCACTCAGATAACGATGGGGGCGTAAAATATCTCGATAACTTTATTTACGCTATATCAATTTTAAAACGTTCGGCGACGTCACACTACCACTTTTGACTTTTTGTTGCGTATTGAAATCGTAGTACGCTAACTGCGTATACCGCGTACTGCAAATTTCCAGACACTAATCACCACCTTTACTACTCGATGGTTGAACGCCGACTCCCTGCACTTTTTTACTCACGATAAAAATTCCCCTCGCACCGTATAAATCGCATTCATATAAAAATGAAACAAAAGCACTTTAAAAATAGAATCTGTCCTTTGCACTTTATATCTAAGTTACATTGTAATCAAAAAATTCTTTCTAGGACGTAAAGAATGTGTAAATTTGGTTTTTAAAAAACTCCAACCCATTACAATGCGCAGTGTCAACTTTTTTATTTATGGAAGCATTTAAATGAAATTTGATACATAGGCGCTTGGAACAAAGGAAAATCTAACGCCAGTTTTAAAATGTAGATTTGCGCATGCGCAGTTCCAACTTTCTTATTTAGAAAAGTATTGAAATGAAATTCTTCTTATAAACTGAAATTGAAGTAGCACGTCAAAAATGGATTGCACATGTGCAACGCTATCTTTCATATTTGTGGCCGGATTTTTACGATTTGAACAGAAGTTGCATCTTACAAATGGGAAATGAATACAAGTGGAAACGCGCTTTTGTAAATCGTTTACGATTACTTTTTAACTTGTAAGTAGTTTACGATTACTTTTTAAGCGCATTTTTCAGAGGGAAAATGAACGCTATTGTCCGTACTTTGTCTGTCTGTCCGTCTGTACCACTACTAGTCCCCCAGTTTAAACTTTTTCGTTGTGGGTTTTTTCTTATACAGTGTACAGCCTAGAGACCAGAACGACAAAAGTTTGTTTGGATTGATCACTTCCTTCCCGAGTTATTACTGATTCTGTGCGGGGAAAATGCGCTTTCGTCGGTCGCGAGTGATCACGCTTTTAACTTGTTTACTTATAATTTCTCTACCACTCTTAGTAATACCAGTTCTGTTAGTTTCTGTACCCATACTTATTACTACCTCTACTTGTTTTTTCATTTACTATCTTCTTATTAAGGTTAGTTGTAAACAACGCTGTGACCTGAAGTACGGTTGGGAAGGAACGTAAAATAAAACACTGAAATTTTGTTTAATAATGGAGTGTTATTATTAAGATTGTAAGAGCTCGAAAATTTAGTCGAAATAAATTAGGTACATTGCAAGAATAAAATTTAGAAATGGCAGTTCATCGTGTAAAAACTGAATTAGGCTGGGGAAAAAAGGAACTTACCAACAAAAAAACAGCCGTCAAATCAATATTAAATTGTGTAGCAAAATTAATTGTTTGTAATGATATGAATGCATAACATTTATAACAACAAAACATGTAGTATGTAGGCTTCAAAGAGGTAACATATTTACATATAGGTTAAAAACAAGTTTTGGGAACAATGACGCAGGTAAAACAGGTACCAAGATTTTAACAAAGCATGTGAGCATCTTTGGTGCACTAAAATCCTTTTGTTAAGAGAAAGATGGAAAATTACATGGCCTTGTAGGGCAAATTCATTGTGACAACAAATATGTGGAAATCAGTGAATCGCAACTCATACATCTCACATAGATTCTAAACCGGGGAGTTTTTATTAGCAGAATCGTGCCCCAAAGATTGGTAACTCCCCCTTCGTTCGGGGTTTCGAGCCTACAGGTTGAATGTTGAACACAAACGGAATTAGGTATCGTAAAACTCATATGATTACAGCTTTTGCCACCTACGTGACTGCTTCATTCACGGAGAACATGTTAGTTTACAAACAACGAGTCAGTACATAAATCAAACGAATCGGTAATTTCCACATATTAAAAGAATGATTAAAATTTATATGAATATTAGCTCTTGTCAAGACCATGTAATCAAAACAAAAATACCTATAAATTAAGTAAACATTACATCAAAAACGTAAACGATTTTGAACAAAAGGTTAACGGTATCAAATGTGTGGTTGTGCGTTACGGTTAAATCAAGTCAATTTCAGAAACAAGGATTGACCCTCATAAAAATATAAAATGCTACATACAACACACAAATACGATATAAAGAAATGCAAAGATTGCTACCTGCATTAAATAACACAAAAATAACAACAAACATTTACGGAGCGATGCTTTCGCCATCGCCATTAAAAACAAGATGCCAAACGTAACCAACTTTGGGACTCTCTAGATGGCGCAAACAGCTTTTCCCCTCCTAAACATTGCGTGGTTGTTTTCTCTCAACATTGTGTGCAACGTCGTAAGTTATCTACACAGGGTGGAATCGCTCAATTAAAAAAAAAATTCATAAATTTAATCTCCCTGGCCATTTAGCACAATTCAATGTTCCAACATTCGTTTCCATTGTCTTCCCTTTGTTATCAAATTCTGCAGATATTTGAGTTATAGCTTTTCGCCCTGATCGGTTTTGTGGAGATTTGCACGTATTAAAGACTTCGAAATGGAGGTCCGCAAGACAATGGGAAATTTGTACTTGTAGACATACGCCCGCTATATTGTTGTGTGACATTTGGCTACCTTGTTATAGGCATTTGCATAAGCTCCCGTTATTGGACAAAAATAGAAGTTCAAGATGGATAGATATACCGACCCCCAAAAAATCGGATGCAAATTTCAGTTGTACGTTTTTATTATACCATGTACGGCAGGTATAAAGTACAGTGTGTAAATCAAACTAGGCTCACTCTGTAACTTGAATATAAAAATCGCAATGGTGGGGTTGGCTTAGACACGGTATAATTTATGGTATGGAAATTGGACTAATCCATATTCATCTAATGTCCTAAGTAGGTAAATAAACAAATTTATTAGGTTTTTGCCATGACTTCGTGAAGTTCTTTGGCACTGATGATTTTGGATTTAGACTTTAGAAGGAGTATATTTAGTGGCGAAGAAAATATACAGATAGTTTAGGCATTTATTGGGAATATTTTCGGTTCCCTGGTGAGATAGGCCATGATCATCAGATACTTAAAGCGCTGTATTTATCTTGATTTTGTAACAGCCGTCTACGTTTTAGAACCTATTCAATATGTCCTCCTTTTCTTGATATATCTGGAAAAACTCTCCTGGGAAGAAATAATACTGCCACACTGCCGTAATTATAATACACATTATTATCACAGACATAGGTACCTACGCAAATTGTCAATTTACATTTCTGAACAAGAATATTACATATTAAATTCTTCCTTTTATTACGTATTAACTTAATGGAACATATCCGCATTTACCAGTATTCCTCGCGTCATTAGCTTTACAATGATTATTATTGTTATTACATACTTGCGCAACAACCATGGTGCGATGTAACGATTTTTACCTTGATTTTTGTTGCAGATGAAATATGCAAGCAGTTAAAAGATACTGAGGCTAAGGCAATTTTTACATTAACATCACTCGCGCCATTGGCAAATGCCGCGGCAAAACTTGCCAACCGGACCGTACCCACCATAACAATAAAAATGGCGGTAAGTACGTGCCTCAAAAAGCGTCGAGTTGAATTATTAGCTATAATTTTAGAGTACAGACTCGACACCCGATGGAACAATTGACTTACGCCAATTGATGGACTCCAAGTGGGATGTTGAGGACTTATCTCCAGGTGGTTGCAATGACATTGCTGTGCTTCCTTACTCAAGCGGTACGACCGGACTACCAAAAGGCGTGGAATTAACTCATCGGAATATAATTGCTAATATTTGTCAAGTCACTGACACTCATGTACGATTGGCCCAAGAAACAACTGGTAGTTGTACTTAGATGATATTCTGTTTCTTGTCAATACTTCCTCTTTCACAGATGAACACCAAGACGTTGTCCCTGCAATACTTCCATTATTTCACATTTTTGGCTTGACTGGCGTCCTTCTCACTCACTTAAAAAATTTATGCAAAGTAGTTACAGTTCCCAGATTTAGTCCAGAACAATTTTTGCAATTACTGACTAAACACCAACCACAAATTTTATTTGTGGTTCCTCCTATTGGTAAGTACTTTAGATAATTAGCAACAAATTCTCATTGAAGATCCGTAGTTGGTTTGATGGCCAATCAATCAGAATTAAAAAAGGAGTATTTGCAACCAGTGCGGACAATATGTTCTGGAGCGGCTCCTTTGGGAAGAAAAGACGAAGAAAAATTGAAGTCTAAAGTCGGTAGTCATATAGAAATAATACAAGGTGATCCCTTTTGCTAGTTTTTATGATGTAACAGCATATTTGTTTAGGGTACGGCTTAACTGAAACTTCACCAGCTGTATTTATGGCAAGCAAACGAAGTAAAACTCGTGGTGTTCGTGGTAGCGTAGGTGAACCCTTACCAAACACTTCCATAAAATTGATTACCGCCGACAGTTCTCAACGTGAAATAAACTCTCCTCAGGACGTAGGAGAAATACATGTTAAAGGACCACAAGTTATGAGGGGTTATTACAAAAAAGATAAAGAAACAAACGAAGCGTTTGCCGATGGCTGGTTTAAAACTGGAGATGTGGGTTACTACGACGAGCATGGCATGTTCTTCATTTCGGAACGTATAAAAGAGCTTATCAAAGTGAAAGGGTTTCAAGTTGCACCAACGGAACTGGAGGAAATACTACGCAATCATCCCGACATAATAGAGGCCGCTGTAATTGGGGTGCCCCACAAACAGTACGGCGAAGTTCCCAAAGCGTATGTTGTTCCAAAACATAATCAGCAAGCAGATGTGGACGGCATTCAGAGATATGTTGCAGAAAAGGTTGCTAAGTATAAGCATCTGAAAGGCGGAATTGAAGTTGTGGAGGCTATTCCAAAAACCACCTCGGGAAAAATTTTACGAAGCGAATTAAGAAAGGAGTATCAAAAAGCGGCGCAGTAACATTAAAATGTTTGTGGACAGTCGTAAAATCATATGAAAATACTTGCGCTTTGTTATGTCTTATAATTAACTTCTTATATGTGTGCTTTTATGAAGAGCGCGTATCAAGCAAGTTCAAGAAGTTAATTTTGAAACATAACAGAAATGGCTTCCTACAATGCAGGGTACCTAGTCTTTTTTTATGTTAAGATACCACTTTGTTGTGATATGTTTGGTATGATTTATTGACTTGGGTACTTATATGAAAAGAGGACCAAGAGAATAGAATTAAATTGAATATATTCTGAGAATATCCATAGAATAATAATTTTTGTACGTTCTGTAATATTGTTACATAACAACAAAGGGCCAATGAATTCTTAATATTGACTTGAAGTAATTGTTCTCAAGATTAGATATTATGAAAAGTGTAAAAGTAAATCATTCCTAGATTGCAAGGTCAAATCATTGCATGCAATGTTGCAATCTGTATTTGGCATGGTGCAATTATATTTCAAATGCCACATGTGTGCCAACAGAAGAAAAACCTGGATTTGCCGACAAAGTTGCTAACCCCAAATAAAAATTAATCAGTGATCAGTGCGCCCCTCAGCATTAAACTTGTCACCGCTGTATTTTACTAAGGTGGTAACACAAAAACAACTAGACGTATTCCTAGAATTGTCCGGTTCATGGAAGATAGCCCCCGCTAATATAAAAATTGCATGCAAGTCTATTGCAGCAATTCATCACCTACCTTTGAACTACCATGTCAAGCGGGCTAAGCAAACCAAGACATTGTCAGACGAAATGACGCTTTTATCTAATAGGTATGCTACTTTTAACAAATCAATTAAAATTTTAGATAAGTAACTAAATAACAACTTTATACTACATTAACATACGGTATGATTTCTGACATTTCTGACTGATAATTACAAGCTGCTCCTAGCTCTGAATGCTCTCACATCATGACTAGGACAATTGACCCAACTTTATTAGTTGGAGATTTTGAACAATCGAAAAATAGTGAAGTTTGATAAATAGCAAATTGTAAATTATTTCAAAAAACTTTTGTTCTTGACAGACAATATATAAACATACCTTATTTTCGTATGTAGGTTTTTAGAAAATAAATTTTATGAAATACTTATTTGATGTGTGTATACACCTACACTCACCGACACGCGCACACCCACACGCCTAATTGGTATAATCATTATTGACATGTATTGAAAATGGATTATTGTGGATTGCCCTGTATGTCCCAGTTAACAGTTTCTTCCGTCGAGATGGATTTTTGTTTTTTATGACATCAATTTGTGTTCAATTAACACAATGTTTGAACAGACCCACGTCCATTGATATTATTTAGGTATACCTAGTACCAAATAGCGTTGTTATATGTTGTTATCTAAATCGAACATATATGTCTTTCACTTGTTTTTGTATTTAAAGTTATCCTTCTCTCTTTTCAATTTATTTATTATTTTTCTGGTACCTTGATTTTACTTTTTACACCAACCTCTGTGCCAAGCTTCATACCCAAAAAACCCTGTCCCTGGCATCTGCGCAGAACGATCAAAGTCGAAGGCTTAGGTATTACAATTGCTGTATACAGAGCGTTTCATGTTTTTTTATAGTTCTATTCTTTCAGCTGGAAGGTGTGTTGTCTAACAGTAGAGGTATGTCACCAATGTCCAAATCTGTTATCTGTGTCTTGTAGTGTATATTTATGTATTATTTTGAGAACGATCACATGACTTATACAGGGTCAAAAACTCGGACAAATGCTCTGGTCAACGATTATCTACCGACGTAGACACATAATTACTGTCGGTACAGTCAAAAACGAAGTATCGGAAGCATCAGAAAGGGAAACTAGGATGGTCTAGATGAGACGAAACAGTCGTGGAGTAAAAACTTAATTCGGACTAAGTATCTCGAAAATGGAGTTTCATAACATTCGACAAAGAAACTCCAGAAAAGGCCTAATAAAAAGCCAATACTGTTTATAAACTTTGACTTCTAAAAAGTAGGTGATTGTGTGAAAAAACGATTCCTACCTACCTACCTATTGTGATGGAACCGAATTTGCCCGCTAAAATTTGATTTAAATATTTCCGAAACCGACCCTGGCGCGACGAAAAAAGTCAAGATTGCGCTTTGTTTCGTTTCCGTGGAACACGTGATTTTTTCTTCTCTGCTCTACATTGAAATGGGCCATAATTTACGATAAAAGTGTCAAATATTATCTACGCTATGCGAGGGGATTTAATGATCCCTATCGACCCGACGTCTCGGAGCACAGTAGATATTAACGATTTTCGTCTAGGATTTGTTTAAGAAAGGGGAGATTGTGGCAGAGGTATTTGTGCTTTTGATGAGGGCAGAAGTAATTTTTACATTGTGAATAGTGAGTGCAGCTTCGACAATTACAAAGGTGATGTACTCGTTTTTTTTATCTCTACGTCTATTGCATCCATCTAATAATGATATGATCGTGTTCGATTATTTGCCAATGTTATGTTATTCTCGTACAGCATGATTATTGCCATTTATGACACATTCTAGATACAACTTGCACTTTTAATTATACTGGTCATACTTTGAATTAAATGCATAGAGATTCTACATAAATATGTTGTTTTCCAATTTACAGTATTCCTTTGTTCCAAGCGCTGGCTACATGAATTACTGACCGATTTACGTGTTTTTATTTATATTTAGATACTGTATGTTCCCTTAGGGGCGATATCCAATACAAGTATGCAGAACTACATTTTAATTTATAATTGAATTTATTGCAGCACATTTCGCTTTTGTTTGCCTGAATATGTTACTGTTTATTTACAGGGTGCTTCATCTGGGGGCGAGTGAGGTACGTTAGGTGGTTGATTCTTACATATTACTACACTTGGCGTTGAGAATTAATTACTTGAAACTAATGTTTTGTCACAACATGTTCCTTTGTTTTGTTTTAATGTAATAAGTAACGTTATTCTCCTACTATCTATTTGAACCGGGTGATTATGATTATTAATATTTGGCAAGGTGACTTGCTTCGAATATGTACTGTGCTATATTTGATATTGATATTTGATACGGATATTTAATATCTCGATTTGACGTAGCAGAGGCTGGCTAAAGTTCAGAACTGACATACGCAGAGATATATCTTTATGTTTTTTTGTTTTTTTGTGCCTTGGAAAGAGCCATCTTGCCGATATTGCTAATCAATCCGATTAGTCGATCCCTGACATGTAGTAACCGAATATTGGTTTTGTGTCAGTCTTTGTTATGCCAGTGCAAATATGTCAACTGTCAACGTCTGCATAAATTCTGTATATTTTGTTTATAATTATGTATGCGTGCGAGTTTGCCGATGGTTGCTCTGATATTTTTGTTATGTCATGATTTGTCTTGTGATCGGTTACTGTCAGTACCAGAGATATAGATATCTCTGGTCAGTACTCATGATAGAGAGCCTGGAGTTCGGTAATTTATAACCCGGCACTTTATAATTGGTGGGTTGCGGACTGGCCCTAGAGATGTGCGCATGAAAGAGTTGGGGTCCCGCTTAGTCGTACATGAGGGCGCTGGCTAGGCTCGGCTTCACTTGCGCAGGGATTCGGTAAAAGCGTGCGGCGTTTTCTCGTTGTGACCTTTTGTGTTTGTTATCAATTTGGGGTATCCTTCCTATGTGAAAGGCTCTTCTGAGAGGCCAACTCCTAGCGATTTCATACAATGCTGACATGACATGACCAGAGCAACTAAAGACTACTCGGTGTGGGGTTTGGACTGGCCATCCAATATCCAAACCTATTATATGAATTTATTGTAATGTTTTAATGATGGTTTTTTGTTATGTGTGTGAAATATTGATTCTTTAGGAATTCTAGTGGAGCCGGTGATTCGACATTGTATTGATGTACTTGACAACATGCATTTATGCCATTACAGACATCTAATTTTGCTATAAAGTTCAATATTAATTTGTTGGCTGGGTTTTTTCTTGGTCAGTTCTTTTTTTCCCAGCCTATTGTTATATTTGTACTCGGTGAACTACCATTTTCCAAATTTAATCTTGCAATGCGAAGTATTTGGATTAAATCTCCGTTTTTAAAGCATATGTACTTGTTTTATTTCTATTCCTTACTTGATCCTCACTCCGACAGGCAACACATATCTTGTAGCGACTTTTAAAAACACAACGTAGTAAGTGGTCCTATTAGCACATTATACCGCCCACCCATCAATTTATGGTCTTTCACATTACCTAATATATCACTAATTACTTCCATAGCCTCTACAACTTGAACGTTACGTTTTTATTAGTGTACAATTACTGTATAACATTTATCAGCTTGCAAATGGGAACTTGTAATCACTCGATCCACAAAGAGTCACTGGAAACATTATACAAGGTGTCCCAAGGAAAATTGGTAGCACTACGACCTCGACTATGACAAAGAATTGCCGCCGCTTTTATTAATTTTTAAACTTTCTTTTAAAAAATTAAAAAAGCTTGTGTAAGTAAATAAAGCACCTTCCAAATTATGGGAGATCTCATCACGGGTATCATTTTAAAATGATGTGAGGGTTGTAACCCCTAACACAGTATTAAAGTTGCAAAAAATATTGTTGTATAGAAATATATTGACTCTCTTTGTTATAAATGGAATGCGTATTGCGTTTTGGATTTTTGTTGCCGAGTTTTAGGGAGGTTCAAATTTCCGTTGGACACCTTGCATTGGTTTCTCCTTGACCGACTCGACAGCAGAAAATAAACTGGAGTGTAGTCCTTGATTCGGAAGCGACCACGATAATCTTTTTCTTTTCCTGGTTACACTTTGCCGAGCATTTGGGTTCTCCGTCATCATAGATAAAAAATAGTATTTTAACTAGATGGCCCTAGATCTCACTTCATCTACTGTTGCTTGTCATAGGGCGGCTGAAAAGAGTTTTTGTTTAGTTATATGGGTTTATTCACCTTACCGTTAATTGAGTATAATGATATGTATCGTCAAAGATAGCAGATATATAGTTACTGCGTATTTTCCTCCTCCTCGCCACTTTTTGGCCTATTGGAGTGTAGAAGTGATACACAACAATCAGTGACACTAGCAGAACACATGAAAAGACTAAGGAAAAACTTGAAAAGAACGTCAGTAAAAGTATTGTAGTTGTAGCCATTCTAGAGCATTATGAATTGTAACGATTAGGTAAACTAATTGACATGATTACTTTGTACAGCCGATATCGTATCGTATCATTTGAATTGATAACGAGAACCTCAACTTTAAATGTATCGTTAAACTGAAACTTGTTCTATGTATTTAATCAGGGTTAATAAAAATGGTTGAAGGAAATCATTCCTCCTATGAGTAGTGTTACGTTGGGCTATATCGGTATATCAAATTTTTAATAGCGATTAATCCACTCCATTAATATTGTACGACCAAGTACCTGGATCGTTCCATCACCATGTCGTCGTTTTTGAATTGGAGGAGGGCGAGACTGATAGAATGATGGGCATGTGTTGGAGTCTTATTGTTCGAGGTGTATTCGAAGGCCCTTCTTTATTTCTTGGTTTCGTCTCTCGACGAGGTGAGCTTGTGGATGAAAGATGGTGGCTCGTAAGGTAGCGCGCAGGTGATCTACGTGAACACTGTGGTCCGTTGTCGGAAACAACGTCTCTCGAAAATCTATATCTTCCGTACATCTCTCTTTCGAGTGTATTGACCACGGCGTCGGTGGTGGTGTAGCGGCGTGGGAATGCTTCCACCCACATGCTATAAAAGCCCATAACCACCACTTGGACAAATCTATTTTCCCCCTATTCCCCTATTCCCGTTTCGGTGTACGTGCCGACGTGTACGGCCGAGGCTTTTCGGCGGAGGGACTTTTCGGCGGCCGTATTTATTGGAGAAGGGACGTTTCGGCGGGCGGATGTTTCGGCAGAGCGCGATCCGGCAGATTATTTATATACCTACTTACATACTGAATAAAAAATTAAGTTTTATTCAATGTTTAGAGCAAAAGTAATTGCTAATTAATCAATCGCATTAGGATTGAATACTGGCGACAAACTTTCGTACTCGGGACTTGTATAATCCCAATGCTGTCAATGTGATCGGATACGAATCAGTGGCATTGGGATTATCTATGACTCCGAAAGTTTGCCGCAAGTACTCAGTGTTAATGCGATTGATTAATTCGCAATTGCCTTTGCTCTAAATGAGGTATACAGGGTGTAGAATTTGGTTACGCACCATATGTATTTCAATGGAAATTGGAATATTTTCTTCCTTAAGTAATTATTTTGCAACAAAGTTGTAAATCATTGTAAAATTCTGCGTTTATTTATGTTCCCATTTGTAATTTTTTGTTGTGAAAAATCCGAGAAGTTGAGGAAATTATAAATTAGGATTTTACTAAAAATCACTGTCAGTCGTGCTGTGAAATTATTACCTCCGTGTTCGTGCTTGGATTCCCTCCCATGGGTCCAGCAGGTTGCCCGCGTGTTGGTTGCCCTATTGGCTTTCCTTGAGCGGCTAGGCGAGGTCTGCGATCTCGATCTGAGCGATGCTTGGAGGTTCGTCGACGTTGCTTGGTTCGGGTTCCCGAGGTATTCTAAGGGTATGTGCTCCAAAACGACATTTTTCGATCGCTGCCTGGAGTCGGTGCTGTCGTAGTCGCTCATTGGTTAGATATAAATGGCGGATGTGGTCTTCCCACGTTGGAGAAAATGATGTCATCGACGTAGACCACTGTGCATTTCCGGAGGTATCCTGCCAGGACCTACGTCATCAATTCTTGGAATGTGACTGGCGCGTTTTCAAGTGCAAAAGGCATAACTTTAAAGTGATAACTGGTGCCGTCCCGTCGGGGGTGGCGAAGGTGGTATTGGTTGCGAGTATGAGTCGAGACGTACTTCCCAGTAGCCTGACTTTAGGCCAATAACAGAGAAGATTTTTGGTGTGCCGATGTCGCGGTGCATCCTCTGGATGTGACATAGGTTCTCCTCGTCCTTTGTGATTTTGTTTAGTCGCTCGTAGTCCACGCAAAAACCTGGTTTCCTGTGTCTTTTGACAGCCGCAACTGGCGAACAGTACTTTGACGTGCTAGACTCGATTATTCCGGTCCCCAACATTACTTCGACTTCGTCGGCAATCATCATGTTGGACGTCCTTCTAGTGATAGTGGGCTGATCTCTATAGGAGTCTTACTTTTCCTGGGCCAATATATCGTGTAACGTTGGGTCGTTCTCCCGTGGGTGCAGCCCCGTTCAAAGTACGAAGTTTGAAGCGACCAGGGTCTCGCTCTACCTGCCCGTCGAAAGTGTATTGGATGGTGGTGGCGCTTGCGATGTGGAGGTGGGGGTTCGGGCCTGCTAGACTGTTCTCACTTGTGGGCAAGCCTTAGGTTTTTTATTTGGTGGTCCGAGCCGTATTTTACTGTGCAATTAGGTTTATCATCATATCTATCCCTAGACTTATCTTTATTTGGTCTTATCTCACGTACCAAATGGTTTTTCTTTTGCGTATCGAGTATTTCTGTAGAATGATAATTATCCCCAATTTATACGGGTAGGAATGGGAGCAATTCACCCTGACGAGGTGCTGTAGTCGAGGCTGTAGTAGATACAATGAAAGAGGAGAAGTGGAGAGCTGACACACCTTTCTGTTACTACTAGGCACTGCATTAAATTTATTATAAAAATAACACTTAGCAGCTTACAAATTCATCTACCATTCTACTTAATCTTGGAATAGATAAAGAATTAACTATAAAGTAAATAAAATCACAATGTATAAAGTTTCTCACTTATATGTAAAATAGCTTCTCATTCAGCTGGCCCCTTCCTTGATTTTGGCGAACTGCAATAAAAGTATAATTTATTATTAAATTCAAGTTCATAGCTACTCACCAGAAACTAAATTCTTAAAATGTTTTGTTTCTCTAGCTGACTTTCCTTGGAACCATTGGATAGTATGTAAACAGCCATCACTCCCAAAGCAGATATGTCGGCAAACAATAACATTGGAATTATATAAACATTGGTAGTGGGATCCGTGTATAACATAACGTAACAACCATTTCGAATTATTACTTGGGATACAACAAAAAATATCATCAATTTCTTATGAACAGAGTTCATGATGCTCTCGCGTAACCAAAAATTTTGTAGGAATTACAGTAATATTTAGCAGAAAACGATAGTCACGTGGAAATTCACGTGTGAACGACTTGAGAGCACTGACACACAGCGCAGTGTATGATTGTTTGCTTGATTGTAGGCGCTATTAATGCAAGCGTTTTCAAATAATAGCATTTTCTCTTCCAGAAGGACTCTCGTAAACAAACGACGAAGATCTCTTCCACTTTTTAGTTATTAGGACTCGCTTTCCCAATTTGCATAAATACAGGCAACACCAAACACAGCTGGTTAGCATAATCACGCCGATCAGAATCAGAAAGCAAAACACTACCACCTGCGTGTAGTCGTTAATTTCAAATTGCCTCATCGTCAACCAGAACTCTGTTGGAAAACGGAAATCACACACTCTTTACTTTGCACAGCACACTCATCCTCACGATTACGTTAGGTTACCTACTTATACGTGCCCTTATCTCAGAGATAAAAATTACATACCGCACATTCATCGATATTGACAGATTAACCAAATTCCCTACGATGGAAACGCGTTTAATTTCCGCTATACATTAACCAAATGATTCACACATCGCTATTCATTGTACCTATATGTTTTCATAAATCAAGTTTCGGGGTTGTAAAACAATTTCCCCTGCAGGATTATTGCTAACACTATCGAAATATTGAAAATCATCGGTGACCGCAGATGCCCTGTCGAGATTTCGCCGATTGTTTATAACTTCTATATTTTCATATTCGTTCTCCCTAAGGGTGGAAACGGTCCGTTCGATTAATTCAATTTCGTCGTACAGTCTTTCGGAGGCTCTCCTCTGATTCTTCTGTCGTTTTCTCCACTTGTATAGTAAGACAGCGAAAATGGCGGTGTAGGTGATTGTTAAGATCAACAAGCTCGGATGTGTCAACAAATATTTATTTAAATTCTGAACGTACCTGGAAGCAAAAATGTTACAAAAACGAAATCGAACGGTCTACTTACATTGTTTGCAGATGAGCCAAGTATTAGTTACTAAATGTTTGTTTATCCGTACAGGAAGTGCAATAGGAATTTACTCATAGGAATACCACATCCGACATTTTATTTTCCATGAAATAACATATCATTAGGTATTAGCTGACAGTTTCTTCTTTTGTCCATTTTTGGTAAGTATTGGTAAAGCTCGACAGAAGGTAAAATCAAAAAATAATTCCAGTATAACCTCAAGTAACTCTTTTCTGTAAATGTTCAAGGATCACTACTATAGGTATATGTATTGGTACCAGAATTGTTCTCATGCAATTGTGGTACAGTCAATGGTATAAGAAGTTCAGTGACGGATTTAATGTTATAGGGGGCAAGCATACTATCATTCTAATGATTTTTTGTGCCTAGTAGGTATTTAATTGGCGGGGTGAAATTTGAAGAGTTGTTGCAATTGAAAAATGCCGGTATTCCAGTTGTTGCAGATTCATCCCAGTAAGTCCCAGTTCCCAGTAGGTATACTCCTCAGTGAGGATTTGGGCATTGGTGGCATTGATACGTTGTAAACGTTGCATCTGCAGTGTTTAAAGTGGACTCAGTCACAACAAAATAAAGATTGAAGTATCTAAATAACATAAAATTATATTTCTACTATATATAGGTACACAATTTAAAAATAGCACATTGAATCAGTCAACATCTGTTATTGAATCCACATCAATATGGACATCATGTTCCTGTGGCGAGTCTGCCGCATTTTCGCCCGTCTTATTTGCTTCCTTCGAGTGTCTCCATTTCATTCGCCTGTTTTGAAACCACACCTTAACCTGGGCATCCGTCAGTCCAAGCGTCGCGGCTAACTGACGACGATCCGGTTTTGTGATGTACTTTTGCAGTTGAAACCGTCTTTCTAAACCTTTCCTTTGCAAGTTACTAAACACCGCTCTCGACCATGATCTCTTCCGTTTTCCGATGGGCGCTGTGCAGGTTGTCGAATTAACGTTCGTTGTGGCTGTTGTGGATTGAGGTAGTGGGGGTATCCTTATTGCTGCAAACGGAAGAATAGGTAATTTAGGTTTAGCAAAACTGTGTTACGGTTTTACGTGATGAACAAACAACATATAAAACTCATGTCGATATGTATTGATAAGAATTCTTTAATTATTGATGTACCAATTTTTCGGCAGAAACAGCACACTGTCTTTAGAAACTCTGATGAACAAACAACAAGTTTACTACAAAACGAGGGCTTTGTCTGATACAACAAAATTAAAGCTAATGACTAGGTGGGAGTTTTAAGCCAGTAGCTGCCGACAAAGTTATTTTGATTTTAGTAAAGAAGTTTTTTTTAAATTCAGGGTGGCGCATATGTAAGTTTCCTAATGTAAACGGGAGAAGTAAAATTAAAGCCGTTACAGGTTAGCAGAATAAAAAATTTCAGACGAGAAAACAAATTTGTTATATGAACTTTACTCACATATTACATATTACCTTAAAAGCATGATCGTTTCGATCCTATCGAAAAATAATATCCCACGTCATGGGGAGGTGTACGCACGCCACCCCAGAGCCGTAGTCAGAGGGAGGCAAGAGCGGGCCCCACTGGGACCCACTTTGCCCGCTCTTGAAAACCTGCTTCATATGACGCAATGCAGCATGCTGATAAATGATCGAATATTTCTTTAAAATTTTAATAAAAAGAAAAGACGAGTTTTCTATTATTAAATAAGTTAGGTTTATTGTGTGTTTCCGTGGTTGTGTTTCCCAGATACCAAATTATGCGAACTGTACTTTGTAAGAACAAGTAAACCAAAAGCTCTACTACATGGGTATTGCCAGCGCAACTGATTAACATAGACAGACGGACATCTAGTAATCGAGTTTGTTCTTTTTCCCAAGAAAATTGGCGTATAAATGAGGATTTAGATCGATTTAAGGCAATAAGGTGATTGATGCCAAAATTAATTTTCGATAGTTGCACATTTGGAACCCATAAGCTTTCTCAAGAAAATTGGTCCCCAATTAGCGATTTGACCGATTTAGAGCAACAACGCTATAAATGAGAAAGTAACTTTTTGATACCTGGACCCCATAAGCTTTCATATAGAGAAAACTCGAAGCCGATATGAGGTCTAGAGACTGAGCTATAGCATGCAACAACAGATAGACGGGCGATCTTTTTTGTCTTTGTGAGTGCTCTCACTCCGTTCTTGTGATATGAGAAATTATAATCGATCTTGACTGGGAATGGGGAAGAAAGCGGTAGTTAATATAAATAGTAGGTATGAATATACACTAGTGAGTTACCATGGCTGTTAAAGTTTGGCCGCCCATCGAATATTGTTTATTGGAACCCTCTAATCAAATTTGGAAGGGAGGCCGGTGGATCCACCGGTAACTTCCGGTTTCATGACGTCATAAAGTGCGCAATTTCGCTAATTCAGAAAAATGCTTCTATCTCAGTAACCACTTGTCTCATTTTCATGATCTTGGGCTCATCGGAAAGATTTTAAAATAAGACAGAACTTTTATGAGAAATGCAAATTGCGTTTCGCGAACGGTTTTCGCGAAATTTGGTAAAATTAAAAAAATTCGCGAATTATTTTTTTTCTTTGTGACACGGGTAAAACGTTATTAAAATTTGTAACTTACGAATAAACATTTTTATAACCTGTTTCACCTACGGTTTTTCGCAAAATTTGAAAAAAATTCCTTTTTTATTTGGATACTTGTAAATCACAAAAAAACATTTTTGGAATTTGTTTCTTTCTCTTTTAAACCTAATAATCCCGGCCAATAAAAATTGCTTCCATTATACTTACCGAGATGTAATCCGTTATTCTAATACATCAGCCACCCATATTTTGCGTATATAAATGTTTAAAAAATGGACTTCTAATAAAATAATATGCAAGAAAATACAGTAATAAGGAAATATCTCGGGAAATATTAATGTAGATTAGAAATTTTGCAACAATAAGTTCTGTACAAATAGTAAATTGTATCTCACAGGTCCCTTATTCTCTAACCCTATTGTATCACACCAGTGAAATATTTTTTCTCCACCACCTGAATAAGACGCTATTTTGTCACACTTTTTGGTGCAAAAAATGGGCGATTTCGGGAGTCGTCGGTATCACCATGGTAACTGTCCAAAAAGTAGGTACTTTTTGGATTTTTTTATCTACCTCTGAAAGATGATGTAGTCACATCCTGTTATAGTGACAAAGAGAGGTAGAGCAATGCAATGATTTGGGCCGAGGACATCGCCATTTTTTCGACTTCCATAAATTTTCGGTTATTTCCTGATCCAATATCAATGAAGATTTTTCAGATATACCGTCGAAGGGTAAAAAATGATGAACCAAAATAACTACGACATTGGCATCACACGTTCGTACGTGTACTGTTTTTTTCCCTCGGTCAATGCATGTACCTATCACATGAAAGACGATTTTCGTATCAGCCTCCTCGTGGTCAATCATAGCCAGCATCTCTTTCTCAGGTCCGACCTACTTGACAAATTCGCCATGTGTGATGTATAGACCACAATTCGGAAGCTGAAAGCTTGAAATCGCTATTTCGTTTAAATACTGAAACAACTCAATTTTGAAGGCAGAGAAATGTAGACCAACACTTCGAAATTCGAACATTTGGGCCAATCTTCAGTCGAAAACCGCTGCCATGGTCGTTTCTTGTCTCTCCTTCCTAGTATGAGTCCCACACTAAGTATGTGTAGTCTGCTTGCTTTCCTCAGCTCATTGTCAATGTATTTTAAAAAACATCTGTTACCGTATTCCTCAAAAGTTGAAGCACCCCGGGGAAGCAGAGTGAATGAGAGCGCCTCCATCTACAATAACTGCATCGTACACAGAAGGAAGATCTGTCACATCATCGGGAGGCTGTATAGCAATAACCTCTTTATGTGGGCAATCTAGAATATCTGACTTCTTTAGCGGTACATTTTTCCAGAAGAACTAGGGAAGGGGTAAATTCTTGCACTTCATGTGCGAAAAACTCATCGATGCATCCTTTCTTTGACTGTGTGGCTACGTACATCTTGCCTGGAACAGACGCAGTTTCTCTTAACATTCCAATTTTTTGTGGCTGTGTTCTCTTCCTCTTTGGTGCTTGGAACAGATGGAAGATATTTTTCTTTATAGAAACATCAATTGTTTTAGTCCTATCGATGATGATCTTCTTTACGTAAGTTTTGTATTGAATCATCCCACTTTCTTGCCACGGATTGCCTATCTTCACTTATTGCACCTTGGAGATTGCTGAGTTCGCTTCCAAACTCGGTGAATGGATTTCCATGCGCAGTAACATAGCATCAGTCATAGACTTTACATCAGTAAGAAAGTCGTTCTGATTCTTCAGACCTTCATCGTGGTGAAAGAGGTCGTAGTCCACATCTTCTTGCGCGTTTGAGGCTGTTTTGAAGTCTGCGACTCTTTTACACACATCGGGACTGTACAATGACCAGTTCATCATTGATATTGGATCTTGGGTCAAACCAATTAGGTCTCCACTTCCCTTAATTATCTTGTTTATTTGTTCGTGACTCTGATCGATAGCAATGATTGAAAATTGGCTTCTTGATCTGTTTACGACAAACTTTCCAGCAATAAATTGAGAAAGAAGGGATGTTGGTAATATTTTTAAATCCCGAAAGTGAATGGGAATTGGTTTAAAAGAGAAAGGAGCAGATTATAATAATGTTTTGCGTAAATTACAAATATTAATAACGTTTTACCTGTGAAAAAAATAATTCGTAAATTTTTCAAATTTTATCAAATTTTGCGAAAACCGTTCGCGGAACGCGATTTGCACTTCTCATAAAAGTTCTGTCTTATTTTAATATCTTTCGAATGCGCCCAGGATCATGAAAATCGGACAAGTGGTTACTGAGATAGAAACATTTTTCCGAATTAGGGAAATTGCGAACTTTATGACGTCATCAAACTGGAAGTTACAGGTGGATCCACCGGCCTCCCTTCCAAATTTGTTTAGTGGACCCCAATAAACAATATTCGATGGGCGGCCAAACTTTAACAGCCCTGGTAACTCACTTGGGTTTTTAACATTGTATTCATACCTACTAAAACTAATTCCTTTTATTGAAAAGTTTCATTACAATACCTTGAATAGCTCTATTAAATTGAAAAAAGAAAAAAATTATAGCCAAAGTGATAGCGGTCGGGGCGGAGGGTGCCAGTTCGTCGAGATCTTTCATTAGAATACCATGTAGGCAGTGGTGTAGTGGAGCCGGGGCGCAGCGGAGCGCTGCTCCGGCACTGCTTGTGAGAGGGAAGCGGCGCTCCGGCACAGGATAGGAGACGGAGATAAGATAAGTGATGATAACTAATGATATTTGCGACTTAGATAAGCCTTACACCTTTAGAGCAATAATTTATTCAAAAATCTACGAACTGAAATTGTTTCAAAACCCATTTATTTTACTGCAAATTTTTAAAAAATTTTCTGGACCCCAATTTTGCTTGGGGGGGGGTGTATTCGATACCCTTGGTTGCCTACATTTTAAGAGCTCCGGCACTGCTAAATTTGGCACTACACCACTGCATGTAGGGTAGAACTAGTGTTTACCAAAACAATTTCAACGAAAATACCTATTGCATAACATTTCATTACTCAAAAAGTAGTTCAAAACCACTGAAGTGGGTCCGGACGGACGGACAAAAGAACACAATAATAGGAAACAATTTATTTCTTTTGTTGATTTTTAAAAATTGTCCCAATTTATGATGTATTCGATGTCGATTATAGTATTCGATGAACATTTTGTATTTTACATCCACCTTTCTAGGTCTATCTGATAGAGGTTGACTCATACATCATTATTTTAAATGGGATTTTGACGATAGGACGTATCTAAACGGTTCTTAATTTATTTGTTTCTTCGACATTTTTGGAAAGATGTTAGGTGCTAAATTGCATTTTACATAAATCAAACGAGACAAACTCATTATTTTTAAGATTTGCATAAATGTTCAAAAAATTTTTACTGTTACATTCAACATTGAAAAA